CACCAAGGTCTCCACAGACTTGAGACACATTGCCTGAATTCTTTCCACCAAACACTCATTTCCTCTGCTACTAGTATCCTTTACGGTATCCTCCTTTTCGACCGTATCACTTTTTAAAAGTTGTGTTTGCAAGGTTGGTGAAACTATCTCGATGCTACCTTCATTATCATACTCACCATTGACATCTTCAAACATCTCTTTGTCGCCCCTATCTATCTCAAAGTGCACTATCAACTTTGTCTTGGTATCAAAATAATAAAATAATATTAAAATAACTAAAATAAAAGATAAAAGTATAGGATTAAGAGAAGTAATAGACTATTAAACTCTTGGATGATTATGAGATGTTTAAAAAATTATAATGTAGCAATTATTTATATTAATTGTTATGCTATGAATAACTAATTTAATTTTCTCATAACCATCAATAAATTGATGATTTCTATAATTTTGAAATTTTCTCACCACTACATATAATTGACTTTACATAATAAATTAAATATGATTTTATTAATTGTTATATTAATTGTTATGCTATGAATAACTAATTTAATTTTTTCATAACCATCAATAAATTGATGATTTCTATAACTTTGAAATTTTCTCTCCACTACATATAATTGACTTTACATAATAAATTAAATATGGCTTTATTTCTTGACAATCTCTCACTTAAAGCCTTATTTATTTGTTTTCAAAATTTCTCAACTATGTCAATTCCAATGTTGCTACGTTTCTGATAGGCCATAAGAGTTTCTGCACCAAATAAATTTGTCAGCGTTGATCAATTTTGTCATAACATTTGCTAAGTTATCTTTAGTGTGAATCTTCTGTATATTCATGCTCCCTTCCTCTACTACTTTTCGAACAAAATAATATTGTACTCCTATGTGTTTAGTTCTAGAATGAAAGACTGGGTTTCTTGCAATATGCAAGGCACTCTGACTGTCACAATACACAATAATCTTCTGCTACTTGTGCCCGAGTTCTTCCAATAACCTTTGAATTCAGATAGCTTCCTTGCATGCTTAAGTAGCTTCCATATATTCTGCTTCTGTGGTAGATAAAGCTACGACAGTTTGTAGCTTAGATAACCAACTTAACGCTCCTCCTGCTAGTGTAAACACATAGGCGATAATAGATTTTCTTTTGTAAAGATCACCTGCATAGTCTGAATCAACATATCCTTTGAAAACAAACTCTAATCCTCCAAAACATAATGCAACATCTGAGGTCCCTTTAACATATCTCAGGGTCCTCTTCATAATATTCCAATGCTCTCTACCTGGATCTGCCATGAACTGACTGATCGCCCCAACTGCTTGAGTAATGTCTGATTTAGTACAAATCATAACATACATAAGACTTCTCACTATTGATGTATACAGTACTCGAGACATCTCCTTCCTCTCTGCTTCACTACTAGGACACATACTTGAGGATAACTGGAAATTGATAAGAAGTGGGGTAAAGATTGGCTTACAGTCTTACATGTTGAAGCACCTCAAGACTTTCTGAAGATAATTCTTCTGAGAGAGTCAAATCTTCCTATCTTTTATGTCTCGGTGAATTTGCATCCCTAAAATCTTGTTTGTGGATCCCAAATCTTTCATATCAAACTCCTTAGCTAATTGTGCCTTCAATTCTTGGATTTGATCTTTATTGGGCCTACCACCAACATGTCGTCCACATACAACAACAAAATAATGAAATCATCATTATCTAACCTTTTGTAATACGTACAATGATCTAAACTCAGTCTATTGTATCCAAGGCTCATGATGAAGGAATCAAATCTCTTGTACCAACACCTGGGCGCATGCTTTAAACCATACAGAGATTTGGTCAACCTGCAAACTAAGTTTTCTTTTTATTTTTCTTAAAACCCTTCTAGTTGGAGCATATATATTTCCTCTTCAAGTTCTCCATGAAGAAATGCAGTCTTCACATCTAACTGCTCAAGATGTAAATCAAATGCGACACACATTGTAAGAACTACTCTTATAGTAGTAAGTCTTACCACTGGAGACAATATCTCATTGAAATCAATGCCTTCTTTCTGAGCATATACTTTTAGCACCAGTCTTGCATGATATCGTTCCACTTGATCGTTTCCATCTCGTTTAATTTTGAACACCCATTTGTTTCCAATGGCTTTCCGACCTTTGGGAAGTTCAACAAGTTCCCAAGTGTTGTTCCTATGTAAGGCTTAAATCTCCTCCTGCATTGTTGCTATCCACAGAGAAGTATCTGAACCATTTAGCGCCTCATGAAAGGTTGATGATTCTCCATCTTTTGATAGAAGATAATATGCATCACGACTAGCCATCACATACTCTGATTGCCATGATGGTTTCCTTATCTGACGTGATGTTCCTCTAGGTTGAACATCACCGTCTTCTTTTGGTTCTTGTACATCATGATCTGGCTCCAGTTCTTCTTTAAAAGAATCTTCTTCTCCAGACTTTCCATCTATATGAATAGTAGTAACATCTTTAGACGTGTCGTCATTTTCCTGCTCACTTTGCAATTCCTTTTCTGCAAATATTACATCCATGCTGACAATAATCTTGTGAGCAGTGGGATCCCACATACGATACCCCTTAACACCGTCAGCATAGCCCATGAATATGCATTTTCTAGATTTAAGATCCAGCTTGGCTCTTTCTTGGGAGTTGTACATCACGTATACATGACAACTAAACACATGTAGAGAAGAATAATTTCCTGGATTTTTATTCCACATTTCCATCAGCGTCTTTAAACCAATCGCAGTTGATGGTGATCGGTTTATCATGTAACCGGTCGTTTTCATTGCTTTTGCTTAGAAGGGCTTGGCTAGTCCAGTAGTTCACAACATAGCTCTAGTCCTCTCTAAGAGAGTTCTATGCATCCACTCTACTACTCCATTTTACTGACGTGTATAAGCAATGGTAAATTGTCTTTTAATACCACCTTGCTTGCAAAATGCCAAAAAATCACCCTATATATTCTCCTTCATTGTCTGTCCTCAAGCATTTTATCTTTTTATCAGTTTCAAGCTTCACTAGTGCTTTGAACTCCTTGAATACTGGATACACATCTGACTTCTTTTTGATCAGGTACACCCACAATTGCCTGGAGTAGTCATCAATGAATGATACAAAATATTTTGCTCCTCCTGTGGATGATTCTGGTGACTCCCACACATCAGAATGAATCAAGTCCAGTATGTGTTTACTTCTAGAGTTTGACTTAGCAAACTTTAATCTATGCTGCTTGCTTATCATACAGTGCTCACAAAAGGTAAAATTATTGTTTTGAGCTCAGGTATGATATTATGTTCTGCAAGAACTTTTAAGCCTTATTTTGACATATGGCCTAGTCTGCGATGCCACATTGTCGTTGAGTTTTCTTGACTAGTTGATGCAACTGAAACATTACCCTCTAGCAACGTCTCTCCAATAAGAATGTATAGATTTACAGATAGTTTTTCTTCCTTCATCATTACTAAAGCACCTCTCACCACCTTCAAGATCCCACCTTCAATATGGATCTTGCACCCGAGGTCATCTAATTTTCTAATTGACAATAAATTCTTCTTCAACCCTTTCACATGTCGTACCTCTTGAATTATACGAAATGTACCATCATACATTTTTATTTTGACAGTACCGACACTAACTAAGGCTTAATCATTTCCCATGAACACTAATCCTTCTGAGATAGGTTGATAAGTGTAAAACCAATCTCATCGAGGAGTCATGTTCCATTGTCGTTGAGTTTTCTTGACTAGTTGTTGCTCCTGAATCAATTATTCAAACGTCAATGAGTTGTTTACTACCCTTGGAACCAGTTGTTGCTCCACTATATAGAATCTCTCCATCATCAGGGTATTGGCAATACATCCCTGAGATGAACTTGCCTCAGAAGACTTCTCACCGTTCTTCTTAAACCAACAATCTCTTTTCAAGTGCCCTTTCTTGCCACAATTGTAGCATCTCACATTCATCTTACTTCAAGATTTTGATCTACTAAGATTTTGGCTCTTACTAGGGCCGCGTTCCACTAATCTTCCTCTCGTCATTGTCAAAGCTTTTATTTGTTTTGAGTTTTCTTAAAGGTCTTCTTTATTTATATTCTTGGACTCTTCCTCAAGAATAGATCTAACAACATTATCAAAGTATATACGGTCTCTAACATTATTATTTATTAAGTTAACAACAAGTGGATCATATGAATCTGGTAAGCTCTGATTAAGAACAATACTTAGAGTTTCTTAAAAGCTTCCTCCAAGAACAATATTCACTCTTACTTCACAACTTTGAGGAGAATAATCAACATTCTATACTTCACAACTTAAGAATGAAAAATAATAGAGACTTACAACTATATAACAACTTCTAACTCACATGTCGAGTGGATCACACATACCAACTCTCCTAGAGAGTGGCTTACATACTCAACCCTAATAACTATATCTTTTCATTCACGGATGGTAAATTCTTCTAGGTTATAATGCTTCTATTTATAACCATCTTCCCAACTGTATTTGGGCTTCAAATCACAACATATCAGCTACTACATATCAGCAGAGACTTCTGCTACAAAATAGGTCTCCAAGCAAATCTTTCCTAACTTATCTACATAATTAGAAAGTCGATATTCTTCAATATTCTTCTTGATTCTGACTTGAATCTTCCAAACCTATAAAATAATGCCACATAGGATAGCATAATATTCCTAAAATATTATGCATCTGTTAAATATTGAACTGATCCAACTGTCCAGTCCAGCACAAGCGCAATGTCGAATGACCCTGCATAGGATATCTTATCTGACATGTTGCTCTAAATGATGAGAATTTTTCATTTGAACGTGTTTCAACATAAAATAGGACTTCTTGCTCAACCTGTTCTTCATAGCAAGTAATCACATCCTATTTAACATATTATTGTTATATTTAATTTACTAAAATTAATGTCCATCCTAAAAATAGAGAACTAACACAACTCTCCTTCCTATGATTCTTCAAGAAAGCACACATATGCTCCCAAAGGGGTTACTTTAACAAATAAATACCCCTCTAAATGAAACATCTTCTGCATACTGTAAGGTAACCCCGAATTCTCCATCACTCTAATATAAGCTTTCTTGAATCTGGATAGCTCATCTTCTTCCACAAAAAACTTCAAGTAAATGGTCGGTTGTCCTCTTTTGCTATATAAGAGAACATTTCCTTTGGTGACCTATGCATAAGACCTTCTATGTTTTCATGCCATCTCTGTTCTTTTTTATTTATGTTATACGATAATGTCTTATCTAGAGGGGGTGATAGATCACCAAGCCAAAAGTCCAGGTAAAAATTATGGTTTTGAATTTGTTTAGAAAAGAGAAGAGTGCAGGCGGAAGTTTTTCAAAAATATGTCGCCAATACAAACTGTGTTATTGGAAGTCAGATATGAAAATATAAGATTGATTATGGAATGAATACAATAATCTGAATTAAGTATACTTCAATCAAGTAACAAGTTATCAATCGTTTATAGGAAGTTACTAGCAACACTATTTCCAATGGAAATTATCAAAAGAACTAACAAAATAATTTGTCGAACACTTGCTATGCAATTTAATTTTCAGAATTTTTTATTGAGTTGTGTTGATACAAAAAAGCACTTATAATCAAAAGTGATTATAAGAAATATCAACACTTAATTAAAAAAATAGTATGGAAAAAATCTTACGAGTCAATTGATTATGCAATGATATTAGACAATTTGATTGATGAAAATTAAAGCAAGTAAAAGCGATAAGAAAAAGCACATGAGGATTTGTCTTCACAGTTCCTCACTTTCATCCTCGCGTGTGGGTACGTCTGTGCTTAATTCTAATGGAATTAAGATAATTCATACTATGCAAAAAGTTTGATACAAGTGAAGTATTCTAAGAGCAACTCCACAAACCCTAACTTTTGTTGTTGATTCAACCCATTCTCTTCCTTTGATCTTTAGAAAGACCAAGATACAATATATCCTAATTGACTTGTCTATATTGCTACTCCTTTGTGTTCTTTATCTCCAAAGTTTTCACGCATGATCAATTGTATCTATTGCAACACAAGATTTTAATTTGATTCACCATTCTTGCACTACTTTCTTTGCGTTTTTTTATCTCCAAAGGATCCTTTGTGTTATTTATTTCCAAAGGCTTTCACTAGGCCGCAATCCTCTCTTCAATGTCTTTCATGAAAACCCCCAACTAATGATCTTGGAGGACAAACCCGCGGTTTTTCCGCATGAAGACCCCTGCAAGTCTCAACCCAATATTTTCGACTACACAAGAACCTAATTGGACGTTATTAAACCTCGTCTAGATGGAACCCAAACAAAAGATTATTACGATGATTTGTTAGTGTGCATGTATAGATTAGAGGTTGAAGGTGAAGAGCAATTGTAGAAATTTTTTATGGTATCATCAAGTTGGAATGATGCATGAATGATGTATTTATAGTTCTGGAAGTTTAGATGCAAAAAGGAGATTTTTGGAATTAAAAAGAATTGAAAAATTGACCTTATTAAATAATACGTGTCGACCTAAAAATCATATATGTTGACACATACTTCAAATTTCAACTGTATGTGTTGACCTGAAGGAATATATGTGTCGATCGAAGCAAGTCAGAGTCTACAAGCTTCAATACAACAGTAAATATGTCTACCTGAAATCCGTATGTGTCGACACATAAAATAAGAATTTCTGCAATTTCATAAAAGTTTCAGTATGTGTCGACCTATATGATGCATGTGTCGACCTAAGCCTTCTAGAGGCTGCAGACTTCAAAACTGAGTTGCATGTGTCGATCTGAAATTCGCATGTATCGACACGTACAACGAAAATTTATGTAGAAACTTGTTTTTCATGAGTTAGATCAATTTCAAAATGGTTTTTAATGATTTCTAAGATCCTTAATGCAAAGGAGTGCCACAAGACATTGAGATACCGTCCAATATACAGAAATGCTAAGTTTTCCTAATTTTGACATCATGTAAAACATTTAATGATGAAATTGTACTCACAATTTAACCGTGTCAAACAACTTCCTTCTTCCCTTAAAGATACCTCTTTGATCATTCTTCACTTCAAACTGGTCTAATATGCTCCCTTTGTTGCATCATCATTATGCTTACTAATAGTCTATTCTCTTTGAAATTTGGGTATGTTGGCAAAGATCTTTCTGCCATCAATAACGTGTTGTCCAGCTTTTTTGTCAATGTTCTTTCATCTCTCACGTTGAAGAAGCGGACAAATCTATACTTTCTTTCTCTCTTGTCTCTTTTTGGAGGGATGATCACTTCATTAATTTCCCCAAAGTCTGTGAATACGTGAGAAAGATCTTGCATGCTCTTGTTCCCTGCGAATTCAATAATGAAAAAGATTGATCTTTTTGTGACCATGTCTTCTTTCAAACCTTGTTGCGTCCCATCTTCCTCCTTTTCTTCTTTCGATATTGTTGTAAGATACTCTTGTTCATCCGTCATCTTTAATATTATTTCCTTTGTCTTTATTAAAATATGTCATTATTAAGGATAAAGTTATATTTTTTTATTTGAAAAGACGGAAGTTGAACAAAGTTAGAGAGAAGTCAGATTATCTCTCTAACATGGCACACATTTTGTAGAAATCTAATTGTAGGGTTAAACCCTAATTAATTTTTACAACTACTTATTTCAATATTCAATACTATTTCTCGTTTGAAAATATTCTTTCATTTTCTTGAAAGGTTGAAAATGAAATTATAATATAAAATAAAAATTTAATATAAAAATATGACTTATGATGATCATCAATATTTTCATGTGATATTTTTAGTAAGGTTAAATGATATGTTGAATGGGTAATAAAAATACACAACACATTGATGTACACAACAAACACCTAACAATCATTTTTAATTTATGAATGACTCTTGCAACTTTGTAACAACTAAATCAAGGAATTATACTTATAAAGTGATAAGAAAATTTTCTAATTATTGTATCCAAATGAGGAAAAATATGAATAAAACGCTCAAACTAATTCATATTTTGATTATAGTTTTTTCTCTAATTGTTCTTGTAACTAGTGGCACTGAATGTAAGTTTTTCACACTCATTTATGAATATCTTCTTTATCATATACACAATCATCGATTATTTTTAGTCTATTTATTTGTTTTTAATTTGACATAACAGATCATGCGTTTTGCACTACGGACGAGGATTGTAAAAACAACCCATGTTACGAAAATCATGTTTCGAAGTGCCATATGTATATGTGTATATGCGAGATGTAAGTTATGATATTGGTGCTCAAAGAATAAATTTATAAAATATCATAATGGTTTAAATGCTAAATAAATTCAATTGTGGATTATGCTAATATAAGTATGTTAGGGTGTATTTTAAATTTATAATTGTCCATAATCCATAATTGTGAGTTTTGCGGAATTAAAATCAGATGGTTCACGTTGTAATTTGTGATAAATTACACTACACCACTATATATTTTTCAACCATCAAACCAAAATTGTATATAATTCAACCTGTTAAACTAGTAACATTTTACTTAAATTAGAAACGTTTTCTTTAAACCATAACTACATCAATAACATTTTACATCAATTAAATACACATTTCAATAAATCATAATGCACGTTTCATAAAACTATCTAATAACTTGTTTCACAGTATAAATTTCATCAAAACACATTACACCATCACATAGATCGCTACTATTAATATCCTTGAATGCTAAATGATTAAATAGTATATACAAAAGAAGGAAAATACATAATAAATGATTATCATTAGTGCTCAATATCTCCGAAAGTAAAAATAATTAAAATAAAATAAAGATAAAGTCCAATGTTGAATTAACACTAATACACTAGTAAAAAGGCCACAAACCCCTAAAATCCTCTAAAACTTGAAAGAAATTCTAAAAGACAAACAAAACACCACTCAACCAAACACACTTTAATTTAAAGAGGATTCTTTTGAAGGGTGAGAGATAATGTTAAGATCTCTTGGATCCGTTGATTCAATTTCTATAAATCTAAGTAGAGAGGTGACATTTGTGTCTCTGATCTATATATAGTTAATTTAGTTTTGTTAGGTAGGTAGCAGGGAAGACTTGTCTCTAATGCTCTTGGTTTATGGAGAGATATTTGTCATGTATGAAAACCATGTGTTTCTTTTTTATTAGGAGTATGCATGGCAAAAAAAATCCAAACTCTATTGTACTCGACCACCCCCTCCCGAATCAAATAAGAAAAATTGATTTAATTAGGATGAGTGTAAGGAAAATTCAATTTTTAATTACGTGCGACGGTAGGGGATGCTAGCATTCGCCCTTGCACTCATCTCTGTCCCTAATGACATACCTAATTAGGAGGTAGATCTTTTAACCTTCAAAATATTCTACGGGGTGGAAATGAATCTCTCTTTTAGACTCTTATGTTCCATCTGATCCACTTGTGGTGGCTTGAGATAGAAGGTGGAAAATGACATGCATACTTCTTTTTTGGATGACCCGTGAGTGGGGTCAGATACTCTCAAATACATGTTTCTTTTCCCCAAAAATAATAATAATGAAGTTACAACGATTCAAGAGAACCAAAAATCACAAAAAAGTTAAAATAAATTCACAAGTGTTCCCCCAAAACTCCCATAACAAACAAACAATCAATGAACACTACGCCAAAATTGATATTTTGTATCGCTTAATTTAATAGTATTTTTAAAGAAAATGCTATTAAAAACGAAAAAACACATCCATAATAGCACTTTATGGTCGGGCGCTATTATAGGATATAAACAATGTGATTTTGATAGCACTTTGTGAAAAAACGCTATTATTAAACTTCAGTAAGATAACACTTTCTCCAAATCGCTATTAATATTATACACTAAGATAGCACTTTCGTCAAAATACTATTAATATTATTCATGTTGTGAATTCAATGCCAATAACAAAGTATAGAATAAGGGAGGAATAAAGAACAAGGAAGAGGAAGAACACAAGAATTGGTTATAACTGCTATTCTTTACTTTCTCTTAGAAAACAAGATTACAAGTTTACAAGAATAACAAATAACCCTCTCACCCTAAATTAGGATTTGCTGTGATGCAATGATGAGAGACTAGTATGCTATTTATAATAAAACCTAACATACTAACTAATGGGCTTTTTTCCACAAGGCCCATTATACAAGCTAACTTAATAAACAAGCTAACTTAACAAATTAGGGTTTAAACACTAAAACCTAATTTTAATAAGCATTCTTCGACAAATACATGCTTCGACTACAGCATGTACTTCGATCATGCTAGAGTTCGATCCAAAATCCCACAAATCTCCACCTTGGACCTAACTCTACAGCATCAAGAGACACTAACTAGCTTTCTTCATGCAGCTTTATCAACTGCATACAGTGGAAAAACTTGCAACTTGGCAATGTTTTGGTGATCATATCAGCGGCATTGTGATCTGTCGAGACCTTCAGCACTTGGACTTCTCCACGCTCGATTACCCCTCTGACGAAATGCAGCCTCACATCTATGTGCTTGGTTCGCTCATGATAGGCTGAGTTCTTCGACAGGTGTATTGCACTTTGACTATCACATTTAACAGTGATACCTTGACCTTGAAGTTTCAGCTCCTTTGCAAAACCTTCAAGCCACAATGCTTCTTTCACAGCTTCAGTTAGGGCAATATATTCTGCTTCAGTAGTTGATAAGGCAACAACCTTTTGAAGAGTTGCTTTCCAACTAATTGCTGTACCAAACATAGTGAAAACATATCCAGAAATAGATTTTCTGGAATCCATACAGCCTGCATAATCAGAGTCAACATAGCCTTCGACAGCTGCCTTACTATCTTCACCCAAGGCTCCACCATAAATTAAGACTCTGTTCAGAGACCCATTTATGTACCTTAGAATCCACTTTAACGCTTGCCAGTGAGCCTTTCCAGGATTCGCCATGTACCTGCTTACAAGACTTACTGCATATGCTATGTCGGGTCTAGTACAGACCATAGCATACATCAAAGAACCAACTATATTAGCATATGGGATGCTGTTCATATAGGTTCTTTCGACATCAGTACTGGGACATTGATCAATGCTCAACTTGAATTGAGGGTTTGTTGGAGTCACAACAGGCTTTGAATTCGACATACCAAACTTGTCAAGAATCTTTCGTAGGTATGCCTCTTGAGATAAGCATAATTTCGACTGCTTTCTATCTCTTCGAATGTCAATTCCAAGAATCCTAGATGCAGCTCCCAGATCCTTCATGTCGAACTCCTTATTGAGTTCAGCCTTCACCCTCATTACATCTTCGACATTGTTGCTTGCTATCAGAATATCATCAACATAGAGCAACAAAATAACAAATGAATTTTCAGGTCGAAATCTGGAGTAAACACAGTGGTCGAACTGACTTCTAATGAAACCTATGTGTTCCATGAACTTGTCGAATCTCTTATTCCACTGTCGAGGAGATTGTTTAAGTCCATATAAAGATTTCTTCAGTTTGCACACATAATCTTCTTTCCCCTTTTCGACATACCCTTCAGGTTGCCTCATCAGGATTGTTTCGTCTAAGTCACCATACAAGAACGCAGTCTTCACATCCATTTGTTCCAGTTCAAGGTCGAACTGAGCCACCATGGCAAGCAACATTCGAATGGATCTGTGCTTCACAACAGGGGAAAATACATCATTGAAGTCGACACCTTCTTTCTGAGTGAAACCCCTTGCGACTAATCTTGCCTTGTACCTCTTCGACATTACTCCTTCAATTCCTTCCTTAACTTTGAAAATCCACTTACAGCTGACTAACCTTGCCCCAACAGGTTTCTTGATTAGTTCCCAAGTGTGATTATCATGAAGAGATTTCATCTCATCATGCATGGCCTTTAGCCATTCAGTCTTCATTCGACTTCTCATAACTTCCTTATAATCTCTAGGTTCTTCGTCTAGAACTTCACTTGCAGAGATTAAGGCATAAGCTACAAGATCTGCATATCCAAGTCTCTGAGGTGGTTTTATGACTCTTCGTTGCCTATCTCTCGACAATAGGTAGTCATCAACAGTTTCCTCAACATCATCAGAATATTCTGTTTCTTCTTCGACTTCATCTGGGATACGCATTTCAGCATCAACATGCTCCACCTCAACAGGAATCTCTACCTGTTCCAGCTCTTCGTCAACATCATCAGTTTTCTTGAAAGCCATTTCAGTTTCATTGAAAACTACATCTCGACTGGTGATACACCTCCTGTGACCTGGCTCTAGGCACCATAGCCTATAAGCTTTTACTCCTTCAGGGTATCCCATAAACATGCATTTCAGAGCTCTAGGTTCGACCTTGTCTTGCCTAATGTGAGCATAGGCTACACAGCCAAATACTCTTAGTTTGTCGAGATCTGGTGGATGTCCCGACCAAACTTCTTCAGGTGTCTTCATATCTAACGCTGTCGAAGGACATCTGTT